CCTTCCTTCCTTCCTTCCTTCCTTCCTTCCTTCCCTCTTTCCTTCCATCCTTCCTTTTCTTTCTTATTTGGTATTTTGTTGATGAGTTCAATCCACTGGAAAAGATTCAAGCACAAAATAATTATCTATGTTCATGTTGACATTGGTTCTGATTTTATGAGATGTTTTAAAAACCTCTTTGAGGTTCTCTAGGCCAGAAGTCTTTAGAGTGGGTATTCTGAATGGCTTGCCCTTAGTTATTGCTAATGATCTCCAGTTGCACTATCTCCCCAGAAGCTGATCCCCTCTGAATTTAGCCTTAAATCCATACCTTCCAGGCAAACCAAATTTCAAAGTCACCTGCACTCCTTACTCTGAGGCTGTTGTGAAGCAGACATCAAATGCTGAAAAATATTGAGTGACTATAACTCTAGTGCTAATTCAATGTTTGACATTAGTTTTTGATCATTTGAGAATGAACATTCTAATTTGAAAATGAGTCAGTGGTCTGTGGGGTGTGAGGAGAGATGACTGACAGTTTTATCGATGTTGAACTTATATAAGTGAACATTAGTGTAGGTAACAATGATGAATTTTTGGAAAACATTAAATATAAAAATGACTGGGAGTGACGTAATGAACCAAATATGACTTCTGACTAGCACAAAGAAATCAGGAAGTACAGGAGGTGAATGATTGCTTGTGCATAAACCAGTCCAAAAATTATGCTGAACAGACAAAAGATCTGGTCTTTTCATGTAAAAATGAACCTTTAACAGATCTGCCTAAACAGATTCATTTGAGGATGAGCTAGTGCAGTGGACACACACACAACATAAACATCTCTTCACAGAAGGAGTCATTTTGATCTGCATAAATCATAAAACAAAGAATTAACTTTTCTCTTTTATTTTGATCTTGCATAGGAAAGGTGATGAAACAACCTGATTTTCCCCCTGAGGATAAGAACTGCTGAGGAATCATTAAAACCTTGGAAACAGTTGAAATCCACCGGGTAAAACTCCAGATTCCTGGGGTTCCAAAGGCATGCATGTCAATGTCACAAGCAAAGGCGATGTTGGGTTGCTGCAATATTGATGCTATTGACTCTCTCAACGTGGGCGATAAGTTTTGCATGAACAATGGAGATTTATTTAAATTCTGATGCATTTGACAGATTCTGTATGATTGAAAGGGACAAGCTTATAAGTCTGTGATTGGCTACATTACCCTGGCAATGATCTGGATCACAAAACATAGCCTTGAGAGGGACCTGCATATATTGTGTATATTTTGATCAAACTCTCTGCCAATTCAATCCGCCAACTTCACTAAATACTAGTATATATGACATACATATCAGGGTGGGGTAAAAGTGGGTTTACAGTTGTGAGTATGTGAAACACTGTTTATTCGTGTTATTGTATTAATTTCTATAGGAACAGCTATAAATCTATTTTTGCCCCCCAACACTGTACATATAAACACACTCCATCCTTAAAGGATCACAAATGAAAATGTTCAAAACATGCTAGAGAGCAATTCCACATGACAAAATTAAGAAACATTTGAACTAATGTTAGAATATTAAAAATAGTATAGCACTGTGAAAGGTGAATGTTTTGATTAGAACATTTATAGTGTCTAGTTGCTTGAAATTAATCAGTGTTGTTACAATTTCAGTTTGTGTGTGTGTGAGCGTGTGTGTGGTGTGGTGTGTGAGTGTGTGTGTGTGTGTGTG